AATAAAAACCAGACCCATCAGTCCACTCTTTGTGTGTGTGTGTGTGTGTGTGTGTGTGTGTGTGTGTGTGTGGGGGGGGGTTATTTGGCCATAGAAGGAGGAGAAGATCTCCAGGAGAGCTTTTTCACTTTAATCTGCATGACCTAAGTGTGTTTGTGCTGGTGTTAATCATAGATTCAGAACAGGCAAAAAAATGTTTTAGGGAAACTCTGCACAGGCTCTGTTTTTTTTTTCCCACTAATACTAGCTTATATATTTTTTTTCCTGTCTAGGTGGGCTGCTTCGACCCGTACAGTGATGACCCTAGGTTAGGCATTCAGAAGATCAATTTGTGCAAATACAGCAACAAGCTGGTGGTGGCTGGAACTGCTGGTCAGGTAAAGATATTCACATAGCTATACACTCATTTGTTAATATTTTAGCACAGCTTAAAATAGATGGAATACATAAAATGTGCACAAAAAAAGAGGAAGGTGACCTGCAATAAGTACTGCATGATCAAGGATCAGTCGGACGACCAAAGCAACAGAAACTGTATTCTTTATACTTGGACCCCTGCTGCTGATTTAGCTAACCTGCCATCCCTCACATGCAGATGAGTTGAGCCCAGAAAACAAACCTTCTCAGGCCCATCCTAATCTGTCGTGACTTTTCATTAGGTTTTAATATCTGGATATCCTGTTGGTCATTAGGGATTTTCTTCCTCATCTTTTATGTCAACAATGTGTATTAGCCTTAAGAGGTCCTTGTGAGTGCCTCCCTTTAATTGAGAAACTGTCTGAAGAACCACCAGGCAGCAAGGGCAATAGATGCCCCCAGCATCAGAACGGTGAGGAAACGCTACCTAACTTCTGAAGTGGCTGCAAATTTTATTCACACACTTCTCCACAAATTTTACCAGAACCCTGTGATTTTGTCGTTGACAATCTAAGGTCAACACTGGACTCAGTTGCTCCACTTTTAACTAAAACAAGCAAGAAAAAAGCAAGACCCCCTTGGAGAAACGAGCACATCAAACAGCTCAAACGTAACTGCAGGAGTGCTGAAAGGAGATGGAGGAAATCTAAATTAACGGTCCACCTTGAAATTTTTACACAACACCTCAAAACCTTCAATAGCACAGTCAAACAGGCAAGAACTTCCCACTATAAAAAACTAATCGCTGACTATAAACATAACCCCAGATTTCTTTTAACAACAATTGATCTTTTAACAAACAACAATTTTAACAGAACCCCTGGGTCATCCTCTGATACCCTCTGTGAGGATTTTGCAGACCACTTCAGGATTAAAATCGACAACATCAGATCCAGTCTTTTATCTCAACAGATTTTAACTGCTAACATACCTGGATCACTGCTTTTACCTGAGGAAACACTGGAGAGTTTTGCACTGGTTGACGTGCAGACACTTGGTCGAGTTTTCTCCCAAGTAACCCCACAACCCGCCTTTTAGATCCAAAGTTTTTTTTAAACAGTTTTATGGATTCTTTGAGGAACAGCTTTTAAACATTGTAAATTGCTCTCTTTCGACATGGTTCTTTCCCACCTCCTTCAAAACGGCGCTGGTGAGGCCTCTTCCAAAGAAGAGCAATCTGGACCCCAAGATTTTTAACAATCACCGACCTGTATCCGACTTACCATTTTAAAGTAAAATCTTGGAAAAACTTGTTCTTCAACAAGTAAATGATTTTTTAAATACAAGAGAAGTGCCAATCAGGTTTTAGGAGGAACCACAGTACTGAGACAGCCCTTTTAAAAATTTTGAATGACATCAGGTGCAATTTAGACTAGGGCCCCGGTGGGGCACTGGCGGGCCCGAGCTGTGTCGCGGCGCCCCCAGTGCGACTGCCTCCCCCTCCCTATCGCGTCACACTCAAGGTCCAAAGATGGTGTGCGCACTTGTCTGTGGTCATTTACCATTATAATGAATGGGAGGCGCAGTTTCTACCAAAACACTAGGTGCAGACAAACTACATGTCCTATATGAAAAAAGTCTGGACCATGAAGACCATTTCATTGAAAATAATGGTTTTTAACCCTTTAAGAGCCTATTCAAGACATAAAGTCACTAATATAGCAAAAATTTGAGCCTTTTAACTTTTTCTGTATCATCAGATTTAATAGACAACTCCCTTTGGCGCCCTTCAGTGGCCAAAACGACTCTGTTTGCTGTAAAATCAAATTGGATTGATATTTTTCCAGATATTTTTCTTTTTTTACTTCTGCCCTGTTCACAACTAGAAAATGTTTCATTGAATTTTTTTTTAACCCTTTAAGAGCCCATTTAAGACATAAAGTCACTAATATAGCAAAAATTTGAGCCTTTTAACTTTTTCTGTAGCATCAGATTTAATAGAAAGCTTCCTTTGGCGCCCCTCAGTGGCCATAAGTACTTTGTCTGCTGTTAATAGTCAATTCCCTTTGGCGCCACTCAGTGGCCAAAACAACTTTTAGGAATGGGGATTTTTGGGTCATCTTTGGCGCCCCCTAGAACGTAAACGGTGGGGTTCAGCGTCATGATTTGTACAACTTTGAATGGCCATGGGGTGTAGATTGGCCTGAGCAAATTTGGTGTCAGTGGGACGAAAGCCTTAGAAGGAGTTAGCCACATTCCAATGTGTGCGAATCGGCAAAAAATGCGAAATAAACCTTTAACCGTACATTTTACAGATACGTGCCCATTGACTTTTTCGTAGATGTTATTGAGATACACGTGTGTGTCAAATTTTGTGTCATTTTGACAAAGCGTATAGGTGTGACACTCAACAATGTGTATTTTCACCTTAGGGGACAAGAAAAAATGGACTTTTTTCTCCTCCCATGGGGGGGCGCTCTTTTGGGGAGTAAAAATTCCTTCACAAATGTGTTGATGGCTGGACATTGCATCATCCTACAAAACTTGGAGGCCAGTGAGGACAAAAAAAAAAAGTTATAAGACTTTTAAATATGTGGATTTTTGGGTTATCTTTGACGCCCCCTAGAACCTAAACCGTGGGGTGCAGCGTCATGATTTGTACAACTTTTAATGGCCATGGGGTGTAGATTGGCCTGAGCAAATTTGGTGCCAGTGGAACGAAAGCCTTCAGAGGAGTTAGCGAAATTCCAATGTGTGCGGATGGGCAAAAAATACGAAATAAACCTTTAACCGTACATTTGACAGATACGCCCACGCTGACTTTTTCGTAGATCTTATTCAGATACACGTGTGTGTCAAATTTTGTGTCATTTTGACAAAGCGTACAGGCATCAGGTGAATTTTTCACCTTAGGGGGCGCTATGGAGCCATTTTGCATTTTATTGTTTGGGCGACTTCAGAATATCGAATTTTTCACCAGGCCCGGTCGTCCTGCCAAATTTCATGAGTTTTCGCCAGTGGGAAGTGGGCCATTTTCCAGTTTAAAGCGGAGGAAAAATAATAACTAGGGCCCCGGTGGGGCACTGTCGGGCCCGAGCCGCGTCGCGCCGCCCCCAGCGCGACCGCCTCCCCCTCCCGATCGCGTCACACTCAAGGTCCGAAGATGGTGTGCGCACTTGTCTGTGGTCATTTCCCATTATAATGGATGGGAGGCGCAGTTTCTACCAAAACGGTCGCTGCAGACAAACTACATGTCCTATTTGAAAAAAGTCTGGACCATGAGTGAGGGGAAAAACACAGCTAGGATATATCCAAATGGCAAGTTGCTCCTCCTTACGGTGTTGCCGGGAGAGCGATGCGATTGAGCCATTGAGCGATGGGCAGGGTTAACTTGACTTTTTCTCCTGCCTTGGGGGGGGGGGGGAATGTGGATTCTTTTAAGAATGTGGATATTTGGGTCATCTTTGGCGCCCCCTAGAACCTAAACCGTGGCGTGCAGCGTCATGATTTGTACAACTTTTAATGGCCATGGGGTGTAGATTGGCCTGAGCAAATGTGGTGCCGGTGGAACGAATGCCTTCGGAGGAGTTAGCGAAATTCCAATGTGTGCAGATCTGCAAAAAATGCGAAATAACCCTCTAACCGTACATTTCACAGATGCGCCCGCGCTGACTTTTTTGTAGACCGTATTGAGATACACGTGTGTGTCAATTTTTGTGTCATTTTGACAAAGCGTATAGGCGTGACAGTCAACAATGTGTTTTTTCACCTTAGGGGACAAGAAAAAATTGACTTTTTTCTCCTGCCATGGGGGGGCGCTCTTTTAGGGAGTAAAAATTCCTTCACAAATGTGTTGATGGCTGGACATTGCATCATCCTAGAAAACTTGGAGGCCAGTGAGGACAAAAATAAAAAGTTATAAGACTTTTAAAAATGTGGATTTTTGGGTTATCTTTGGCGCCCCCTAGAACCTAAACCGTGGAGTGCAGCGTCATGATTTGTACAACTTTTAATGGCCATGGGGTGTAGATTGGCCTGAGCAAATTTGGTGGCGGTGGAACTAAAGCCTTCGGAGGAGTTAGCGAAATTCCAATGTGTGCGGATCGGGAAAAAATGCGAAATAACCCTTTAACCGTACATTGTACAGATACGTGCCCATTGACTTTTTCGTAGATCTTATTGAGATACACGTGATTGTCAAATTTTGGGTCAATATGACAAAGCGTATAGGCGTGACACTCAACAATGTGTATTTTCACCTTAGGGGACAAGAAAAAATGGACTTTTTTCTCCTGCCATGTGGGGGCGCTCTTTTGGGGAGTAAAAATTCCTTCACAAATGTGTTGATGGCTGGACATTGCATCATCCTAGAAAACTTGGAGGCCAGAGAGGACAAAAATAAAAAGTTATAAGACTTTTAAATATGTGGATTTTAGGGTTATCTTTGGCGCCCCCTAGAACCTAAACCGTGGGGTGCAGCGTCATGATTTGAATAACTTTTAATGGCCATGGGGTGTAGATTGGCCTGAGCAAATGTGGTGCCGGTGGAACGAATGCCTTCGGAGGAGTTAGCGAAATTCCAATGTGTGCAGATCTGCAAAAAATGCGAAATAACCCTCTAACCGTACATTTCACAGATGCGCCCGCACTGACTTTTTGGTAGACCGTATTGAGATACACGTGTGTGTCAATTTTTGTGTCAATTTTTACTCCCCAAAAGAGCGCCCACCCCCATGGCAGGAGAAAAAAGTCAATTTTTTCTTGTCGCCTAAGGTGAAAATTCACATTGTTGAGTGTGACACCTGTACGCTTTGTCATATTGACACAAAATTTGACAATCACGTGTATCTCAATAAGATCTACGAAAAAGTCAATGCGCGCGTATCTGTCAAATGTACGGTTAAAGGGCTATACAGTCAAGTTTTTCCTGCCCATCACTCAATGGCTCAATCGCATCGCTCTCCCGGCAACACCATAAGGAGGAGCAACCTGCCATTTGGATATATCCTAGCTGTGTTTGTGCCCTCACTCATGGTCCAGATTTTTTTCAAATAGGACATGAAGTTTGTCTGCAGCGAGTGTTTTGGTAGAAACTGCGCCTCCCATTCATTATAATGGGAAATGACCACAGACAAGTGCGCACACCATCTTTGGACCTTGAGTGTGACGCGATCGGGAGGGGGAGGCGGTCGCGCTGGGGGCGGGGCGACACGGCTCGGGCCCGCCAGTGCCCCACCGGGGCCCTAGTTCTTTCTTTCTTTCTTCTTATTTTTCCTCCCACTTCAGAATATCGAATTTTTCACCAGGCCCGGTCGTCCTGCCAAATTTCCTGAGTTTTCGCCAGTGGGAAGTGGGCCATTTTCCAGTTTAAAGCGGAGGAAAAATAATAACTAGGACCCCGGTGGGGCACTGTCGGGCCCGAGCCACGTCACGCCGCCCCCAGCGCGACCGCCTCCCCCTCCCGATCGCGTCACACTCAAGGTCCAAAGATGGTGTGCGCACTTGTCTGTGGTCATTTCCCATTATAATGAATGGGAGGCGCAGTTTCTACCAAAACGGTCGCTGCAGACAAACTACATGTCCTATTTGAAAAAAGTCTGGACCATGAGTGAGGGCACAAACACAGCTAGGATATATCCAAATGGCAAGTTGCTCCTCCTTACGGTGTTGCCGGGAGAGCGATGCGATTGAGCCATTGAGCGATGGGCAGGGTTAACTTGACTTTTTCTCCTGCCTTGGGGGGGGGGGGGGGGGGATTCTTTTAAGAATGTGGATATTTGGGTCATCTTTGGCGCCCCCTAGAACGTAAACCGTGGGGTGCAGCGTCATGATTTTTACAACTTTGAATGGCCATGGGGTGTAGATTGGGTTGAGCAAATTTGGTGTCAGTGGGACGAGAGCCTTAGGAGGAGTTAGCCACATTCCAATGTGTGCGAATCGGCAAAAAATGCGAAATAGCCCTTTAACCGTACATTTTACAGATATGTGCCCATTGACTTTTTCGTAGATCTTATTGAGATACACGTGTGTGTCAAATTTTGTGTCATTTTGACAAAGCGTATAGGCGTGACAGTCAACAATGTGAATTTTCACCTTAGGGGACAAGAAAAAATTGACTTTTTTCTCCTGCCATGTGGGGGCGCTCTTTTGGGGAGTAAAAATTCCTTCACAAATGTGTTGATGGCTGGACATTGCATCATCCTAGAGAACTTGGAGGCCAGTGAGGACAAAAATAAAAAGTTATAAGACTTTTAAGAATGTGGATTTTTTGGTTATCTTTGGCGCCCCCTAGAACCTAAACCGTGGGGTGCAGCGTCATGATTTGTACAACTTTCGATGGCCATGGGGTGTAGATTGGCCTGAGCAAATGTGGTGCCGGTGGAACGAAAGCCTTCGGAGGAGTTAGCGAAATTTCAATGTGTGCGGATCGGCAAAAAATGCGAAATAACCCTTTAACCGTACATTTGACAGATACGCCCGCACTGACTTTTTTGTAGATCTTATTGAGATACATGTGTGTGTCAATTTTTGTGTCAATATGACAAAGCGTACAGGCGTGACAGTCAATAGTGTGAATTTCCACCTTAGGGGGCGCTATGGAGCCATTTTGCATTTTATTGTTTGGGCGACTTCAGAATATCGAATTTTTCACCAGGCCCGGTCGTCCTGCCAAATTTCATGAGTTTTCGCCAGTGGGAAGTGGGCCATTTTCCAGTTTAAAGCGGAGGAAAAATAATAACTAGGGCCCCGTTGGGGCACTGGCGGGCCCGAGCTGTGTCCCCCCCCCCCCCAACGCGCTGCCTCCCCGTCCCATTCGCGTCCTCTGGCCATCGCCCTCTCTGGTAACGCCCATCACTGCAAAGACCCTTTTCCTTCATCGGCGTTTGCTGTTCTTCCTGCCAGTGCGTGTTGCTTTCACTTACACTTGCCACAGCCAGCCTTGTGAGTGCCTAGCCTATTGGATATCACTGTCACCTACACAGGACAGTCATTACCTTTCTATTAATACTTTGTTTTTTAATTTCACATTAATTTCCATATTGTATAAACGACTGGAAAAAACTTGAGCCCCTGCCCCCGTATAATCATGTGCACGTCCCTGTTCTCGCTCCAAGGTGAATCTTCACTGCTCATGTTCTCCTCAGAAGCAGTCACCTCACTCCCCTCAGGTTACTGTACACATGCACCAACTGCCTGCTTCAGGTTTGGATGGAGCTTCATGGTTGTCTTTTGGAGAAATGAGCAGTCAAGTTGTGTTAGAAATTTGATTTTTTTCAGGGGCAAAAGGAAGCCTCTGCATTGTTGTCAAATATGTAAATAGCATGTTTTTGCAGGTGCTAAAAAACAGACTCTGAGTGTGTGTGTGTGTGTGTGTGTGTGTGTGTGTGTGTGTGTGTCTGTGTGTGTGTGTGTCTGTGTGTGTGTATCCTGCAGTACTCTGTACTCCTGCAGTGGCCAAAACGACTTTTAAGAATGTGGATATTTGGGTCATCTTTGGCGCCCCCTAGAACGTAAACCATGGGGTGCAGCGGCATGATTTTTACAACTTTGAATGGCCATGGGGTGTAGATTGGCCTGAGCAAATTTGGTGTCAGTGGGACGAAAGCCTTAGGAGGAGTTAGCCACATTCCAATGTGTGCGAATCGGCAAAAAATGCAAAATAGCCCTTTAGCCGTACATTTTACAGATACGCGCCCATTGACTTTTTCGTAGATCTTATTGAGATACACGTGTGTGTCAAATTTTTTGTCAATACGACAAAGCGTACAGGCGTGACACTCAACAATGTGTATTTTCACCTTAGGGGACAAGAAAAAATGGACTTTTTATTCCTGCCATGGGGGGGCGCTCTTTTGGGGAGTAAAAATTCCTTCACAAATGTGTTGATGGCTGGACATTGCATCATCCTAGAAAACTTGGAGGCCAGTGAGGACAAAAAAAAAAATTTATAAAACTTTTAAGAATGTGGATTTTTGGGTTATTTTTGGCGCCCCCTAGAACCTAAACCATGGGGTGCAGCATTATGATTTGTACAACTTTGAATGGCCATGGAGTGTAGATTGGCCTGAGCAAATGTGGTGCCGGTGGAACGAAAGCCTTCGGAGGAGTTAGCGAAATTCCAATGTGTGCGGATCTGCAAAAAATGCAAAATAACCCTTTAACCGTACATTTGACAGATACGCCCGCACTGACTTTTTTGTAGATCTTATTGAGATACATGTGTGTGTCAATTTTTGTGTCAATATGACAAAGCGTACAGGCGTGACAGTCAATAGTGTGAATTTTCACCTTAGGGGGCGCTATGGAGCCATTTTGCATTTTCTTGTTTGGGCGACTTCAGAATATCGAATTTTTCACCAGGCCCGGTCGTCCTGCCAAATTTCATGAGTTTTCGCCAGTGGGAAGTGGGCCATTTTCCAGTTTAAAGCGGAGGAAAAATAATAATAATAATAACTAGGGCCCCGGTGGGGCACTGTCGGGCCCGAGCCGCGTCGCGCCGCCCCCAGCGCGACCGCCTCCCCCTCCCGATCGCGTCACACTCAAGGTCCAAAGATGGTGTGCGCACTTGTCTGTGGTCATTTCCCATTATAATGAATGGGAGGCGCAGTTTCTACCAAAACGCTCGCTGCAGACAAACTACATGTCCTATTTGAAAAAAGTCTGGACCATGAGTGAGGGCACAAACACAGCTAGTATATATCCAAATGGCAAGTTGCTCCTCCTTTCGGTTTTGCAGAGAGAGCGATGCGTTTGAGCCATTGAGCGATGGGCAGGAAAAACTTGACTTTTTCTCCTGCCATGGGGGGGCGCTCTTTTGGGGAGAAAAAATTCCTTCACAAATGTGTTGATGGCTGGACATTGCATCATCCTAGAAAACTTGGAGGCCAGTGAGGACAAAAATAAAAAGTTATAAGACTTTTAAAAATGTGGATATTTGGGTCCTCTTTGGCGCCCCCTAGAACGTAAACCGTGGGGTGCAGCGTCATGATTTTTACAACTTTGAATGGGCATGGGGTGTAGATTGCCCTGAGCAAATTTGGTATCGGTGGGACGAAAGCCTTAGGAGGAGATAGCCACATTCCAATGTGTGCGAATCGGCAAAAAATGCAAAATAGCCCTTTAACCGTACATTATACAGATACGCGCTCTTTGACTTTTTCGTAGATCTAATTGAGATACACATGATTGTCAATTTTTGTGTCAATATGACAAAGCGTTCAGGCGTGACACTCAACAATGTGTATTTTCATGTAAGGGGACAAGAAAAAATTGACTTTTTTCTCCTACCATGGGGGGCGCTCTTTTGGGGAGTAAAAATTCCTTCACAAATGTGTTGATGGCTGGACATTGCATCATCCTAGAAAACTTGGAGGCCAGTGAGGACAAAAATAAAAAGTTATAAGACTTTTAAATATGTGGATTTTAGTGTTATCTTTGGCGCCCCCTAGAACCTAAACCTTGGGGTGCAGCGTCATGATTTGTACAACTTTCGATGGCCATGGGGTGTAGATTGGCCTGAGCAAATGTGGTGCCGGTGGAACGAAAGCCTTCGGAGGAGTTAGCGAAATTTCAATGTGTGCGGATCGGCAAAAAATGCGAAATAACCCTTTAACCGTACATTTGACAGATACGCCCGCACTGACTTTTTTGTAGATCTTATTGAGATACATGTGTGTGTCAATTTTTGTGTCAATATGACAAAGCGTACAGGCGTGACAGTCAATAGTGTGAATTTCCACCTTAGGGGGCGCTATGGAGCCATTTTGCATTTTATTGTTTGGGCGACTTCAGAATATCGAATTTTTCACCAGGCCCGGTCGTCCTGCCAAATTTCATGAGTTTTCGCCAGTGGGAAGTGGGCCATTTTCCAGTTTAAAG